GCTGTGTTCCAAAACCAAGTGAGATGCCTACCTAGACAGCATTTTAAGGCATTGTAAATGTGCCATCTATGCAAAAATTATAATTATGAATTATTAAAAATCTTTCTTAGATGCCTTTTAGCTGAATTCTAAGGTAAGACTGTATGTATCATTGGCAAATAAGGCAATCCCAGAATGCACTACAAGGAGCTCTGTGATACTTGCTGCTGCACAATGCTGCCCCATAGTTGTGTCCAGTGTCTCTACATTTTTCATTTACATGCTATAATGGCTTTCTTTCATGTTGTAGACCATGAAATAGCAATTGATTTACAGTTGAGATATAGGTTTTCACAAAAACAAAATAAATTATATAATGATAAACTTCATAGTTTAGCCTTTAAACAATTTTTTAAGAAAAGGGATGAGTCAGAAGTATAAATTATTCTATTAATTTAAAACAGGGTTATGTGGGTGGATTTTCGCATTGATCTGAACAAAAACTGCAGACGGGATTATTGAAAATGCACTTTCATTCTCTACCAGTAGGAGGCGCTTTTGGAACATCAGAAATACAGCGGTTTCCCCCGGTAACAGCTGTAAACAAAGCAGCGCTCCTCTCATAAATGCTAAAATGCCATCGAAAATGTATTATTTTATTTAACTAGTTATTTTAACTACAAATTTTAATGAAACTGAAAAAAAAATAATGAAAAATTAAATTATACATTTACACACCTAAGGATTATATCAATCAAAAAAGTAACTGTGTATGCGTCCTCTAATTGGGTCCTTCTCATAAATGAGTAAGCGGCATTTAAAACAATAAACATATAATACGCACTGTTGCTCAATATGTAATTACAACTTCAGATGCATGATATTTTCATTTGATACAAGCAGGATACACAAGAAGCACATTCAACTCGTACACACAGACGGTTGTCATGGTAATAAACACCGTAAACAGCAACCGTTCACGTGTCCGCGCTTAATGCGCATCTCATATATGAAAAGTATTTTAGGGGGCCCTTGGCTTTTGGTAGCCCAAGGCGGTCGTCTATCTTTGCCTAATGGGTAAGTCCACCTCTGCGAGTGCGCTCAATTTGTGGAGTTGCTGCCCATGTAGAGCATTCAGAATAAGTCCGTTATGAGGTTCTATTCAGATGATGTCTATGTAGGCAAGGTGGCTAACTAGGTTTTGGAACAGTTTCCACTTAAAGATAAAGAATCTTGTAAACTGAATTTTGTGAAAAAGGATTTTGTGGTGAAGTAAATACTACATAAAAACAAATGTGATTTCTACATTAAATAATTTAGTTCAGGCAAGAATTAAAACAATTAAAGTAAATTCTATATTAGTACTCAATTTAAGGTTGTAGAAATTAAAGTTTGAAGTTTCCAAGTATATTTTACTTGGAATTGTTTATGTTTACAAGGATTCTTTAAGTAAATATCAAAGTTATGATCCCGTATTTCCCGTAATGCACTGGGGCATGAATAATTAAAAAGGTTACACTTTTCACTGTTTTCGAGTTGTATTTACACTGTTTTATTGTTGCTTTTGTTGTTAGGTTTAGTAACTTACTGTTTTGTGACATCTGGAGTTCATTTTCTACTCAAAATGACCGATTCATACTCAAACACTATTCACTGATTGTTACCGTCATTGTGTATGGTGTACCAAGTATTGAGGTCTCTGTGTTCATTTAGGTAATAATTACTTTGAGTGGGCATATTATCTTAAAAGGATAACAAGCATACTTGCTTATTTACAGATTTCATTTTACTTAATTCAATACTTAAATTTTACTTAAAATATTTCTGTGTGAAAACTTGCAAAAGAAAGAAAAATTAAGTTAATCTTATTGTTTTTTTCAGTGCAGTAAATTACTGTTATTTAACAGCACACTTTTTTACAGTGATACGCTTTACTTAAGTAAAATTTACAAACAAAGAGTCAATAAAATTTACTGGGAATTCCCAAGTAAACTTAACTTAAAAATGTATATTTAAAGCTACTAATAATTATGTTTAGG